GCTCGACAACCAAGAACTCTGTCCAGGTGGGAATCACCTGCTCTTTCCCCAGCTGGACCACCTGCCACCAAGCTCTCCTCCCCATCACGCTTTGGAGCCCGGCCACACAGACATGCTGCTGCCCCAAGCCTGGCAGAGAACTCTAAGCTGGGGCATTGCTGGATGACGAAAGGCAGTGAGCTCATCACAACTTATTAATGAGGCCAGCTACCGAGGGAAGAGAAGTAGGCCCGCTCCTCGTCTCCTCAGGACCCATCAGGTCGGACTGGGCTGAGCCCAGTCACTCCTGCCACCGCATGAACCAGAAAAACCTTCAAAGCTTCACTGGAAAGCACTCGCCACATCCTAGATATGGTATTAAAAGACAGCAAAGCCAGAGCTACCACACCTTGGCCAACTCTCTCAGAATCCATCATTCCATCCCCTATTGGCAGTCTTGGCCAAAAGGCTGCTCCGGTGAATCTGGGTACCAATTTAACTGGTTTATTGATTAAATACTAACCACAGGATGAGAACCTGACCTATTTCACGCAATCGGATAGGCAGCATGTTGGTAGCAATGCCTGACAAGCCATCTCTTTTATTATGAAGTTAAGTGGCACTGGTGCTGCCGGGAGAAACACAATGAACTTGCCCAGAAGCCTTCATCCTTTTTACTGCAACTGTCAGAGTAGTGAAAGGGCAATTGAAATTATTACAGGCATCCCTTCGGTTCCTTCCAGATCTAATACAACGTAATCTTGTTCATCTCAGATAATCACGTCAAGTCATTAGCTCGTTGATAATTCACCTCGTGCCGAGTGCTGTGACTTGGCAAAGAGCAGGCTGTGCTCTTCGGGCCATCACTCTCTTTCAAATTCTGCTTGACTTTACAGAACAGACAGCCATGCTGCTCCTTGCATGATGAAAGAATAAAATAAAATTAAAAAAAAAGAAAGAACAAACCGTTGCAAAAGACCTAATGCTTTAAAATTAAACCAGGCACTTTACATAAATAACTGGCCAAACGCATCAATTTTCACACCAGTCTGACTGCGCATGTGGCTTGCAGGGGATGTAAAAATCTTGCTTTAAACAAGCTTGTTGAAATTCAGCAGTTTTGCCAATTTGCTAAAATAGAGCTCAGCGATGCAAAGCAGCAGAAGTCCGACAAAATCAGATGTACCTGACAGAGTAGGAGGTGTAGAGCTAGATTTTAAAATGCTTGAAATGCCTCCTCATTCTCAGCCTGCAAAACTCAGCTGGACACTTCCCAGAAACAGGCTTGCAGAAGACTTTAAGAGGAGTAGCTTTTAAGAAGTGCCTATATAGGATTTCATCCTTTCTGGCACCAAAGAAAACCTGGATTAACGCTGCACTCAGCAATTCAAGTAGCAAAAAAACAACAGCAAAAAAAGGACAATTCAAAATTCTCTAGAACAACCACATTGAGCCCCAGCCAGGTAGCACGGGCTGCACTGGAGACACGCCAGGAGCACAGAGAAGGAAGCATTTGCACGTATTTACATCACAACAACATAAAAAATACACAGTTATGGTTGTCATTTAAGGCACCACGTACTAAGTCATTCTGAAACAAAAATAAACAAATAAAAGAAAAGAAAGGCTGTCTTGCAGCTAGCTCAGGCACTTTAAACTGAAATCTTCAATGACTCCTAGTCCTCATGGTTGGGAAGATGCATCAGTTGGGCTCTTGCTCTCCAGGACCGTAACGCCTTCTTCCATAGCTGACGGACACACAGTCTGTCCCAGATCAATCTTGTGAGCTCTCGCCTGGAGTTCTCAAGCTTTGCCTGGGACCAGCACGGAGCAGAAGAGCCCTGTGGCCTCTGGGCTGCTACTGCACAGGAGAGCCTGGGCAAGAAAGGTCCCCTGGGCTCACACCACCAGGGCAGGCTGGCTGCAGCTTTAACAACCATTTAATTACTGTTGAGTTTGGGACATTTTGATTTCAGGCACCCACAGGACTCACGGATCAGTTTCTCGTGCCTTGCATCCAGAGGACTCAAGGAGCATTTTGAAGGCCAACCTACCCCAGAAATTTAGGGCATGAAGCAGCATGAGTTGGGCCACCCTGTTTTGGGATGAGGAAGAGAAGAGTTGTGCGAACACAAGCCCAAACACTTGTCAGGAAAACAAGCCCTGGCCTACTGTTTTCCTTAGTACTGACGTGGCCATCAGTGCTCTGCAGGAAAGCCCCTTCCTTCCACGCCCCCGAGCCTCGAGAATCCCGGGAATCCTCTGACATCCTCCTGTTTCTGGACCAGATTTAGGCTTAATATATACATCTGGCGCTGGAGAGGCTGCTCTGCCCACGGCTGTTGCTC